ACCCCTGCTTTGCATCAGTTATTGGTCATTCGGGATGTCCGTGGGGGTCAGGCAGAGGCCGGGGGCTGTGTCTGGAGGTGAGGGACAGCCTTGCCCTGCAGGTGTTCAGCTGAGCTCCCAGGAATGAAAACACTACACATGTTCAGTTACTGCTGTTGAAAGTTACTGTTTTTTCTTAGAAAGTTACTGGTTTTTCTTAGACAAATAGAAATGCCCAGGAAGAGCAAAAGGAGTGGGCTGGTGCCAGGTGGGTGAGCAGCCAGCTGGCAAAGGGCCAGGCCAGGCTGACGGGCACAATTGCCTTTGCCAGTGGTTGATGTCCCTCCCCAGCAGCTGTAAAACCCTGCCAGTGAGGGCTGGAGCAGCACTGCTGCCAGGAGGGACCAGGCATGCAGTTGTCACTGCTGCTTTGTGTTTTTTTGACAGAGCAGTGCAGCTACATGCACCTGGAGGAGGAGGTTCCTGATGGAGGTGAGCCCTGGAAGAGAGCGTAGAGCAGAAACCTACTTTGGCCAGATGTGCACTACGTTGATGTTTTCCCTACAGGTCATGGAAGCCCTTAGGATGGTTTTACAGGCCAGGGTCTGTGTGCCTTGTGTGGGGTGGGAGACCCTCCAGAAGGGCAGCTTTGCTTGCAGACAAAGTGCTTGCGTGTCCCTCTTGGTTTGCCTCACACAGCTTGTCTTACCCAGCGCCAGGGCTCCTGGCTCCTTGTGTGGCTGCCAGGTCTGGATGACAGTGCTCACAGGATCTGAGCCAAGTGGCTTTGGAGTGCCTGGACAGGTTTCCAGGTAGAGCAGACCCCACCACAGCAGCTAGAAGTTAGTGCAAAGAGAGGTACAAGACAAGCTACAGCCTAACTCAAAACACCCCCTTGAATTTGCCTGGAATTGGGTTGGGCCAAATTTTTATTTTTTAGGTGCCTTCTTTCCTGAGCTAGCAAAGCATGTCCCCAGTGCTCGAGTCATTTGTGCTTCCCGCTTCCAGAGGGCAGGGAAGGTGTCTCCAAGGCTCCTTCTGTGACGTGAGAGCTGTCTTTCTGGCCCATGGGTGTGTGAGATGAGAGCTGGTGGATCTCATTCCTGCAGGAAATGCCACCTTCTCCCCAAACACACAGCCCTTCAGAGAGCAGCAGGAGCAGTTTGCTCTGACGAGGGTATTTCTCCTTCCTCAGCTCAGCTAAAACTCAGCTTGGAGGAGCCCATGCAGCAGGGAAAGGCTGATGGGTTGATGGGTTTAACCTGGACATGCTTCCTTCACACACAGAGTGAATTTTGGATATTATTGGTGATTTTGGATATGGCACAGACATCATCACTCTGGTTCCTCATTGAGGTCCCAAGGGGCTGGATGGGAGCACTGCCTTACAGACCTTCAGATACTGGCTGGTTTCTCACTTTCTGTGTCACAGGATAGGAAAAGGAGGGGGAAGCAGTGATCTGCAAGCAAAAATGTTAATTTGTAAATAGGGAAGAGTCTGGAAGAGTTTACTGTTGTGTAGAATAAATTAATTTTATTTAAAAAAAAAGGGGAGGGGGACTTGTTAAACAAATGTTAAACTTGAGTTTCGGTTTTGAAATAAAATCACTTGCAAAAAGGATGGCACGTGAGCATGAGCTTGGGGTTTTGCTGGATTTGCTATATGAAAAAAGGGAGGGAGGGTGCTGTCATGTCACATGTGTGTAGACCTCCTTGCTATCTCGAGGCAGTTGGGGCTGGGCTCGGTCTGTCTCTGCCTGATGGAGTGCACTGAGGAGGGAGAGAGGGGTATTTTTCTCACTGCTGAGCAGAGGGAGGAGGAGGAGGAGGATGGGTCCAGGCTGCACAGGACAGGGTTTTATCTCCTCCCAGTTTCTTTTTTTCTTTGTCTGGTTTGTCACTGGTGCAGGTTGAAACGCCTCCCTCCCCAAAACAGTGTGGATAATAGGGAATGAGCAGCCCTGGGGTGTGAAGATGGACCTCCCTTGCCAAAGGCCTGTGAGAGCATCTCCCAGCAGCCATTCCCCACAGCCTGTCATTCCCCCTCCCATGCCTTCGTCTCTCCTGGGAGGCCGTGCCTCGTGTTCTGATGTTGTATGTCTTTCTAGTGTGCTCTTTTCTGCTGAGAATCCCCTGGGAAAACTGGGGCATTGTCCCAGACTGTTCTGTCACAGCTAAGCAGCGTGACAGACGCAGCTAACACATGGCTTTTGGGGGGGTGGAGGGAGCTGCTCAGCTCAGGAATCAGGCCTCGGTTGTGTCATGATCCATTCACAAAAATATTCCCTCCCCCGAAAGGCTCCAGAGCCTGTTCACCGCTCCTGGAGAGCTCATCCATCAGGAGCTGGGCAGCTGGGGAGGTGACAGCCCCTCCTTATGGATGAGTCTGTTGCCCTCAAGGCTGGCACTGAGAGATGTGCCTGTGGGACAGCTGCTCTTCCTGCCTAAACCTAAACCATTCACACCTCAGCTTATTAGCAAATTGACTAACTACAGCATCAGTTTTGCTGGAAAACATCTCTTCCTTTCCTTTCATAGGATTCCTGGGAGGCAGGGGCAGGATGCAACAGCCCTTTGCATCTAACGCAGAGGTCTGGTAGTGAAACAAGGGGAAGGCAACCTCAGTGTGTGGGCTGGGCTGGATTCCATGCCAGCAGTGCCCTCTGCCCAGGGCTGGAACAGGACTGGTCTGCACGGATGTTGGACTGATCTGCAGGGATGTTGAAGTGGTCTGTGGAGATGAGCTCTGGCTCTGAGCTGTGCCCTGGCAGAGACTGTGAACAGGACAAAAATGCAAAGGGATTTCAGCAGCGCAGCCGCCCACGTTTCACGTGGGTGTTGGAGCTCCACAGCTGCTCCTGCCTGACGTGCAGGGTCTGTCTCAGCAAAGGCTTGCAGTGCTTCCAGAAGGATCCCTTTGGTAGGAAAATTCCTCAGAAACACAGTCAAGCTTTGATACAGATCAGGGAGCTGGGTTTTGTTGTTTGGTTTGCACTGACCTATGAAAACACTTCCCTGTTCTAATGCAAATCCCATGACCCCAGTAAGCCCAGTTCTGCCCAGATCCCAGCCCAGCACTCTGATTTCGTGGGCTTTGTATTTTTGATGAAATACTTTCTATTTTTGAATGACCCAGTAACAGGCTTGGCCCCCCTCCTTGGATAGATATATTTTAAAAGTAATACGTGCATAACACATCAAGAGTCTGCACCAATTCCCTAGACATGTAGGTTCAGAGTGAGATGCTCCCAGGTCTCTTTCCCCATGGTTTGCGTGGGCTCTGTTGGATGACAGGCAGCTGCCTGTTTGTTTCCCAGGGCTGTGAGCTGTCACTGGCACAAGCCAGGCTTTGGGCAAGTGAATCCAGCTGCCCAGCTGCTCCCTTGCAGCCCGTGGGGACTGGAAGGCAGCTCATCACTCGCACCCATGACAACTTAGGGGTTAGTGAGCTAAACCTTCCTGTGCTCTGCTCAGGACTAAAGAGAGAGGAAACTCAATCTACATTTCTGCTTCTAAAAAACATTCTGCAGTGACTGAGCAGGGACCAGGGGCATGTACCTGCCCCCGCCTCTGCAACAGCACTGGAGTTTCCTTGGCGAGGCTGAGTCCAGCCTGGCACTGTAAGGTTTCTGTCCTGGTGGGCTGAAGAGGACCCAAGGCTGGGAGAGCCGTAGGCACAGGAGCTGAGGAGCTGGCAGACAGCATGGGGGAAGCTGTTTGTATTGCTCCAGCCAGGGCTGAGACTGCAAGGATGCCTTCCAGGACCAGCGGCCAGCTGGGAACTCAGCCAGCACTAAATTCACACCATTCTTTTACAAATCAGGTTGGTAAGACAAACACGAGGCACAAACTAGTGTGATTTCCATAGCAACCTCAGTGAGGGTTGAAAAGTCTTTTGTAAACATGGGGCTGAACCTGAGGATCAGCTCCGGTTTTCTCCACTGAAGAGGGAAGAGAATGGGGGCTTAATAAATTCAGGTCATATAAATGAACTATAAATCTCAGAAGGAGCCATTCCCAACCTCTCTGTTCCCCTTTCTGTCACCCTCTCCACATGCACAGCACGAAGCTGTCTGAAACCCAGAGCCCAACTTCTCGGCTCCAGCTTATCTCCATAAACTACACAAAGGTTTATGCCCCTCTTCCATTGCAGCTGACCTTTAGTAGCTAATTCTCTGACGCACGCACAGCCCGAGCACATGCCATGCCATTTCTGTAGGGCCACAGCGACTTGAAAAGAAATTTGGCTTGCAGAGGAACCTGATCGCAGCCAGCTCCGGCTCCTGTTCCCCACTCATGGCTTCCTGCAGCCCCATCAGTCATGCGTGGATTTGAGGGTACAATCCCTCAGCTCGTCCAAGCACTGCTCCCGCAAAGCCCAGATGTGGATATGGATGCAGATAGTGCAGCATCCTCCGCCTTCTACCTGCCCACATCTCCGCATCTCCCAGTGCCCGGCAAGGCCGTGCCGTGGGGAATGGCACTGCCGTTCATCACTGTCAGCAGACAAAGCCCGCGGGCAGCGCTGGTTAATTACCAAAGTGACACGAACAGATGGTGCAGGCAGCCTGCCACCGAGGCACTGGGAAGTCCCGTATCGCTTACACCATCACGGGGAAAGGATTTGGCAGGGCTGAGGGTGCCGGTGAAAAACACACTGAATTTTCACCGTCCTCGGGGCTCAGCTGAGCCCAGAGCCTGGATGGAGCGTGGCAGATGCCAGAGCTGCCTCGCTAATGGGTCCTGTTGGGGACAGACTGCAGTCGCTGCAGCCTGGAGAACGTGCTTGGGGGGACAGAGGAAATCAGAGCTCAGCAAAGGCAGCTTTGCAGGGAGTGGGAAGCACAGCTACAGCTGGGACATGGGAGAAGTGACGCAGGGAAAAACATATCTCTGAGTGTGTACATGAGTATTTGAAGGAGGGGTCAGAGGATGAAGCCGGGTGTTTCTCAGTGGTGCCGAGCAGTAGGATGAGAGCACAAGCAGAGAATGGAGCACAAGCAGTTCCACCTGAACATGAGACATGGACCTGTTGGATTGAGTCCAAGGGAGGCCACCAAGATGTTTAGAGGGATGGAGCACCTCTCCTGTGAGGAAAGACTGAGAGAGTTGGGGTTGTTCAGCCTGGAAAAGAGAAGGCTTCAGGGTGACTCAATTGTGGCCTTGCAGTACCTGAAGGGAGCCAACAAGAAAGATAGAGAGGGACTTTTCACAAGGACATGTAGTGACAGGACAAGGGGAATGGCTTCACACTGACAGAGGACAGGGTTAGATGGGATATTGAGAAGAAATTATTCCCTGTGAAGGTAGTGAGGCACTGCCACAGGCTGCCCAGACAAGCTATGGCTGCCCCATCCCTGGAAGTGTTCAAGACCAGGTTGGATGGGGCTTGGAGCAACCTGGGCTAGTGGAAGGTGTCCCTGCCCACGGCAGAGGGGTGGAACGAGATGGAACCCAAACCATTGTGCAATTCTATGAGGAAGAACTTCTTCACTGTGTGGGTGATGGAGCACTGGCAAAGATTGCATAGCGAGGGTGTGGGGTCTCCCTCAAAAGCCATCTGGACACAGCCCTGAGTGCCAAGCTCAGGGGATGGTGCTGGAGCCAGGGGTTGGAATGGGTGACGCCAGTGATCCCTTCTGAGCCAAACCATCTTTCTGTAACTCTGCACCCTCACAGAATCACGTTGAGGGCGACAGAGCACTGAAACAAGTGCCCAGGGAGGGTGTGGAGCCTCCCTCTCTGGAGACATCCCAAACCCACCTGGACCCATTCCTGTGTCACCTGCTCTGGGTGACCCTGCCTTGGCAGGGGGTTGGACTGGATGATCTCCAGAGGTCCCTTCCAACCATACAATTCCTTGATTCTGTGAATTATCGTTCTGTGACTCTGCACCTTCGGCCCCCACCCAGGCTGCAGGGCATGGACATCAGGAGGAATTTATTCACAGAAGGGTTTGTGAGGCATTGGAACGGGGCTGCTCAGGGAGGTGGCGCAGTCACCGTCCCTGGTGGTGTTTAAGGAAAGGACTGGACGTGGCACTCGGTGCTCTGGTGTGGTTGGCGGGGTGGTGTTCGGTCACAGGTTGGACTCCATGTATTTTACAACCTAATTCATTCAGTGATTCTGTGACTCTACGACTGTTCGCGGTGAGGGCCCCACGAAGCCCTTCCCCCCCCAGGGTCCCCTCACGAACCCCCCACCCCTCCCGGGCCCTCAGCCAGACCCGCCATGACGGGCGGGGGAGCGTCGCGCGCCGTGACGTCACGGGGGGCGGGGCGCGACCAGGGCTGGAACATGGCGGCGCCCTCGGCCCCGCGGCCGCCCCGGCCCCGCAAGGAGCCGCAGCCGCTCGTCATCCCCCGGAGCGCGGCCGAGGAGCAGCGCCTCCGCCTCGAGCGCCTCATGAGGAACCCGGTGAGGGCGGCGGGGCCGGGAGGGGGAGGAGGGACAACGAGACCCCCCCCCACACGCAGGGTCCGTGAGGGGAGAGGGACACCGAGACCCCCCTACTGCACCTGCAGGGTCCGTGAGGGGAGAGGGGCCGGTACGACCGCCCCAGGGTCTGTGAGGAGAGAGGGGCCGACCTCCCCTTCCTTCTTCCCGGTTCCATGAGGGGAGATAGATTGACACCCCCCGCCCCTTTCTCCTGCCTAGGTCCTCGAGGGGAGAGGGACCGACACCGGCCCTACACACCGGGTTGTCATGATGGGAGAGGGACTTTTCTGGGATGCTGTGAGGGGAGAGACCCTTCTCTGGGTACCCAGGGGGAGGACTGCCCTCTCAGTCCCCTCAGTGCTCTGCCCGCTGGCCTTTGCTCTTCCTACTGCTTTTGATGACCCCAGTTCCTCTAACTGGGTGTTTCGATCCTTTCCCGAGGAGGTGTTTGCCAGGAGGAGACTCTCACCCGTGCCCTGTGTGTGCTGGAGCAGCTGAGATGTCCCTGCACCGCGTTCTTCCTCTGACCTTGCACCATGTGTTCTCCCTCCCCTGCTCTTTCCTGTCCTCTAGATCTGGCATGGAAGGTGCACAAATGCCTTTCATCACTTCCCAGACTACGGGTAGTGGGAGTAGACTCAGCTCCTGCGAGTGCTTGGAGGTGCTGACATGCTTCCACCTGGTTTCCGTACTGAAAAGAAGCGCAGACATTCCTAATCCTCCTGGGGTTTGTTGACCTGCAGGCCTGAATGTGAGGGACAGAGAGGATCCCTTCTGATTCTCCTCTTCTGCCTGCTCCTGGTCCCTGTGCATGAAGAAATGGCTGCAGCTGTGCTCCTTCTGAGATCTGTCAGCTGATGGAAGAGGCTGTTGTCAGACATGTCCCGCCTTTCAACAATGTGTTAAAATTGCAGACTTTGCTCCTAGAAGATACTGATGGCTGGTTGGTTTGTTCTTGCAGGAAAAGACTGTACCAATCCCTGAAAAACTGAACGAATGGGCACCGCGACCTCCCCCGGAGTTCGTTAGAGACGTGATGGGTAAAGATTCTGTTCTTCAGATATCTCCGGGGTCAGCCACATTTAACTCAGAAAAGTGTTTAACAGGGGAGGACAGAGATGGTTTTTCGGTTGCTCATTTTGCTGGAGGAAAGAGGTGTGAAATGTGCTTCGAGAGTTGCTTTTTCGAGTTTTATTTGGTTCTTGGGTCCCGCTTTTCTGCCGGTAGTCAGGATGCAAAGTGAACAAAGCCCGTGGCACTGCAGCACGTGGGCTGCCTGCAGTGCAATACGCTGCTGCTCTGGTGATGACAAGTAAATGATGATAAGTAAATCTGTCTTTCCCACTGATCTGAGAGTGCTCTGGAAGCTTGCAATTATGAAGCCCTTCTTGTGGCTGCTTTGAGCCTGGATCTCAGGCACGTGCAGCAGGTATGGTTTTGTGTGGTCAGGCAGGGATCTGGCAGCTGTGCAAGGAACCTGACCCAAATACTCTGCTTATACTTTACTTTTACCTGCAGGGATTAAATATAGTAGTTGTGGTATAAACTGTCTGCATGTAGAAGTTCTGTCTTTCTTTGGGACCTTCATCCTTCCTAGAGGTCGACTTGTTCTTTTCTCAGAATAATTGATCTTGGACTGAAGTTTTAAATGCTTTGGAATAAACTCTTCTGCCTATTGGAATTCCCTCATGGCTTTTTCAAATATCTTTGCTGTGTGCTTGAGTAAAACTGTCTTGTTTTTCTGGGAGCACCTGACATGCTGGGATTCTGCTGGTATCTGTTGCAGCCCCAGCTGCTGTGTTTTAATTAGGTGTCTTTTTTGAGTCTTGTATTCCTGTGCTTTGCCTTGAGAAATGGCTCAGCAGACAGAGGAAGAGAATGGAGAGTGATGTTGAAAGCTCCTGCGAGGCTTCAACATGCAGGCTGATGCCAGGAAGAGAGAGCGGTGGGCATTTCATTTGTGAAGAAACAGTCAGAAACTGTCAGTGGTATCTGTCTTGTGTGGGAAAGTACAATATGATGGGGTTTATCTCCTTTCTGTTGACCTTTATTTTTTGTGTGAGATGCTGAAAATCAGTCAGAAGCATCTTCAGTAGGATGTTTTAGCTCATCTCTGCCTGTAAGAGAATAGGGAGTGCATTTGATCTCAAGTTCTTGGACTGCCTTGATGTGCAGCTAAGACTGGGCTCTCCAAGGGAGCAATCAACCAGTAGGACCTGCAGTGACCCATAAGTGTGTGGTTTTGCAGCTCTCTTTGGGTTTTGGCTGTGAGTGATTTGAGCTTATATAAAAGGGTGACACACACTGTGTGTTGTTGGTAGATTTTCAACTTAGAGTGCCATTTCATGTGTCCCATCCCTCAGCATCTAGCTGTAGTTATTTGTGAGAATCTGTACACATTCTTTCCTAGCAGATTTACCTCTTCTTTGCTGCAGGTTCCAGTGCTGGAGCTGGGAGCGGGGAGTTCCACGTGTACCGGCATCTCCGGCGGCGAGAGTACCAGAGGCAAGATTTCATGGATGCCATGGCTGAGAAGGTCAGCACAACTCTTTATAGTTCCCTCACTCCCAAATATTTGGTGTTCACTGCAAATCTGTGTTTTCTTTGAAAGTCATGTACAAATAATCCCATTCTGAGCCACCCCTTGTCAGAGGAGTCTGTAGGAGTGTGTGATACGTGGCGTCTGTGTCAGTACTGAAACATTTGGTGCTTTGTGTCAGACATGCTCCATCTCCTGTGTTCCCTGGGGTCCTAGCACACAGTAAGACACGTGAGTGTGTGTGTTCTCAGGTTGGCTTGAAAATGCTTTAAAACTAGAAATCCCTTATATTATCACTGTCTTGCCTAGAGAGAATCAAGGCAAGTGCCTGTGAATGGAGTTCAGATGTTTCTTTTAAGGCTTGGTCAAGTAGAATGGCCTCTCTTTCAGACAACATTATTGTTATACTCTCTCTTGGCCGAGTCCTTTGATCCATATGTTAATGTTTATGTCTCCAATTATTCACTTGTTTTTACTGAAACATTCATTAGGGCAGAAGCCCAACCTTCCTCACCTGTTCTGGTGAGGATTCCTCCCTCAGAAGGTTTCAGTGTTTGGCTCAGGGTATAGGTTAAAAGTGCTGTCTATACAGCAGTCATCCCTAGGACATGGCTTTGTATAAAGAAGACAGGCAAAATCTGGCAGAGCTCCCTTCTGTATTTTGCTAAAAGATTTCTCCCTAAAACGACATGACTTTTAAAAGAAGTATTTTAATTTAGATTGTGACCAAAGTATGACATGTGATCAATTACAGCAAAGACTAGATGAGGAATTCCAGAAGAAACTGGAGAGGAATAAGATGATTGCAGAAGAGCAAACAGCAAAACGCAGAAGGAAGCGGTAAGGGCAGATTTTTCCCAGGAGGCTTGACATGGAAACCCTCACACCCTGTGCCTCATCTGTAGCTGCATGCTTTGGATAAACACTGTCATTCTGTGTCTGCATCTATCAGCTGGGAAGTCTGGCTGTGGAAATAAAATTTGTCAGTGTCATTGTTTGGTTTTTAAAGGTAGCTGTAAACTTGACAGGCTTTGCTGGCCTCTTCTCCATGCCATCACTGGCAGGATAACTCAGGACTGGTTGAGCAGCTTTTGCTGACTCTGTGGTCTTGATTGCAACGTGCCTTACTGCATATTTGTTGTAACAGTGTCAGGAAAGGTTTGTGTTT